GATACGCCCGTTCCGGCACACAACATCTTGGCACTATTAGACAACAATCAGAGCATCGAAAGAAAGCCCGGTTCCGGAAGGCCGACGACCCTGAGCGACAAGAAGTTCCAAAGGATGTTGAAGAGGAAGACCTAGGGAAAAGTGGCTACATCGCTGCGTGCGCTTGGCCGGGAGGTCGGTGCAACCCGTCAAACAGTGAAAAAGTACCTGGCAACATGAACATACATGTCAGGAAGCGGAAGTCACGTCCACTGGTTTCGGAGCGGCTGAATAAGATGGTCAACTCGTTTTTCCCGGCGAATCGCGACGTGGCGGTGGTGATGGATGACGAGACCCATCTCTCCCTGGATTTCAACGACTGGCAGGGCACTTCGTATTTTACTTCCCCCACGAAGGAAGGGACCTCCGAGGTGAAGTTCATTTCACACACCAAGTTCCCCAAGAAGGTGCTGCTGTGGCTGACAATCAGCGAGAAGGGGATGTCGAAGCCACTCTTCTTTCACTCCGGACTGGCCGTGAACGGGGAAATTTATAGTACGAAATGCCTGCCGGAAGTTGCGTCGTTCATCAAGAAATACCATAAGGGTGAAGACGCGGTGTTCTGGCCGGATCTGGCGTCGGCCCACTACTCGAAGCGATCGTTGGAAGAGATGGAGCAGCTGAATATCGGTACCCAAGTTGGCGAACCCGCCCAATGTCCCCCAGCTGCGTCCCATCGAGAATTTCTGGGCCAATCTGAAGCGTAAGATCTACTCCAACAATTTTGTCGCGAAAACTGAGGAGGAATTGATAAATAAAACGAAGAAAGAACTCGAAAACACACAGGTTTTCGTCCGCCATGGCGAATGTTCCGGTTAACTGCCGGAAGGCCGCTCGCAAGGGCGTAGATTTTTTTTTGCAAGTAAGCTTAAATAACTACCTTCCATGGGAAGTTTATCAAAAGAAATTATCGGTATTAGCTTTTTTTATCACCATCCGAAAAAAGTCTTTTTTAATGCAAACGTTACCAGAAGGGCCCAGCATAGTACCTTCATAAGAATTTTGAGAAGAATTCCAATGGAATATTGGAGGAGGAATGAAAAACACAATATAAGCAATAATTCTAATAGATAATTATCGCTCATATTGTGTTTCCATTCCCCTCCAATATCTCTATGGAAATCTTCTCAAAAATCAGGATCTTCTATTAAGTTCTGTAATGCAGTTTCAAGAATTTCAATGTAATTTGTGCAATGTAATTTTGAGCAGAACATCTGGAGAATTATTAGAAGAATTTCAATATAGGTAATCTGAAGAGAAATCATGTTTTCCATGCACAACACAACCCACAACCTCTTTTCCTCGGTCAAAGTATATCATTTTCCTTGCCAGCAGGAGCACATTAGTATAAATAAGAATATACGCACACCGTTGTATGAAAAATTTTAGTATTTGATAATTTCAAAGGAATTCAGAGAAGAAATCTAAGAGAACCGTATTCCGAGAACAGTTTCAAAATTAGAACGATTTCAGGAGAATAGAACTACATGTAATGTTTTAAAGGATTTCTGAAAAGCTATTTAAGAAAATGTCTGTGAGCATTCCTAGAAAGTTCTGTGATGAATTAAAAGGATATTTTGAAAATTTTAAGTTTAAATAGTGAAATTTACGAGAATTCAAAGAAAATATTAGGAAGAATTTCCAGAAATTTCTGAAATCATGTGCAAGGGAATGTGAAGGAGAGTTTCAAAGGGGTTAAGAACAATACTATGTAAAAACTGAAGATAATTTTATGGACAACATAATTCTGAAGAGTTTGCCATGAGAATTCTAAGGAATATTCCATGATAATAGTAAGAAGATCTCAACATTATGAACTCAAACTTAATTGAATTTTTGAGCGAATTCTAATTAATATCAACATAATTGTAAAATTCATTCCAAGAGTTTTTATTTGCAGAGAGTTTGTTTTAAAATGTGGGGAACACTTAAAGGGAATGTGACAGAGAATCCCAGCATTCGTTCTAGGACAGTGGTTTACAGTCAGTGCTTAACGAAGCACTTAGTGCTCCGAAAAGCCTCTTATAGTTCATCGTGGTGCTACTTTTAAACTTGAGGTATTGTAAAATGTAATTTTAATTGCAGCCAATAGCCGATTCCATTTTTCAAGTCTATAAATTGAAACTGTATCGAATGACAATTATATTGAATTTTATTTTTAAAGCTAATTTGACCGTATTTTGACGAAACACAAGGGTTGCACTTTGAACGATGACGAAACATACGTCAAACTCGATTTTTTGTGCGTGCTATTTTTTGTATGTGCTCAGCCATTCAAACTATCCGGCAGCCAAATTCCTGGCATAAATTTACCCAAAATGAATTTGTTTTATACATAATAGGTATATGTAGAAATTTGAATCCCTCCTCTGAAATTAATGCCCGGAATTCAGTTGCTGAAGTGCTAATTCTTGTCAATATAGCTAAATCACCAAGACACTAGTCTTTCCTATAGATAATGCACAAACATGTCCATAACATCTGGATTCATCATTCAAGATTCCAACAGATTCAATTAGCTGGAATACTTCCTGCACAACCTATAGTCTTGAAAGAATATTTGAATGTTTCCAGAACTTGATCAACCTGAAGTCTTAAAAAAAAATATCCAGAAAACTATACTAATATCTTCGTCTTTATGGAGATCTTTTAAATATTTCCTACTGTCTAGGAAGGATGTCTGATAGAATATCCTGTAATCTATGCAATGTTTCCTGAACATCTACAAAACTCCCTTAATAGGCATAGAAAAGGAAGTCTTTGAATACCTGCTATGCTCTTGTACAGCAATCGTCAATGCAAGGCGTATTTTCTGGATAAGAGGCTGGCAGAACCGTTTTGATATTTGGAATACAGGTCCCAGTCAAGTAGTACATTTCATTCGAAATGTAATACCTGGCTGGAAAAATGCGGTTGGTCAGTCTATGTCGGTCGCTTTACAAAATATTGATACGACATACTGATAAAGTTATAATACAATGGAGAATATATCACAATAGATCAAAGTAATGGTAGCAGTATTGAAATACCCAACACGGAAAAAAAGGTTCATTGATTTCTCACGGTTCTCCCTTTGAATTCCCGGGTTTCTTCCGGTTTCCGGATACATTTCCAATTCCCTGTTATTTCCCGATATTCCCAGATTGCCCGATTCGCTGGCGACCCTGTATATGTTATGAGGTACAGTACACATTTGATTTTGGCAACAAGAATATTAAGAGTTGCCAAAATCGAACGGATTTATATTGAAATTGTATTCATGATGGTTAGGTTAGGTTATCTTTATTAGCGAGACTTTCAGCCAGAGGCTGGTTCTTCTCTTATTTATTCATGATTTCGTTGATAATTAATTAATGTTTTATTAAAACTTGTAATCACAAGAAGCAAAAATACGTTGTGTACGGTGCCAAAAGCGAAAGGTTTTGTGGTTTTAATGTCAAAATCTAACCGAATCGAAATGGAACGGGTACTCTAAAGCTTTTACTCAACTTCTACCATCTATAGGCATTTGGGACAAGCCCTTATTGCATTTTCGTTAAAATTGTTGAGCTTTTTTCCTGCCACTTTACAGCAAGATGCTTAGTTTATGAAGCTAAAAATTTTTGTTTGGAATACAGCCAACTCTCCCAAACTCGATATTGACTGGATGATGGTATAACATTTCGCGAAAGGTAATTTTCAGGAATGTAAAATTTCCTAGAACGTTCTATTTTTCAAATAAACTGGCAAACGGAATTTCCAAATTGTATATCTGTATTTTACTGGTAATTTTCTTGATGACTGATGACATTGTCAATGTGAGAGTTGAACTTAAGTTTGTCATCAATAATCAAGCCAAGATATTTAATCTCCCGAGCGCGATCAATAGTCTTATCATTAATTACAACGTTCTCATTTACTCGATTCCGCGAAATTACCATAAATTTAGTTTTACTTGTATTCAATTTCAACTACTTGATGCAAGCACTTATTGACGTCAAAATACTTGAATTTGAAGGGAATTTCGTTCTACGAAGGTCATTTTGTTCCAAAATATCGATTTGAGATCTCGATTTTGCAGCAAAGTAACGTTCGTAGAACAAAATGAAAAATGCCTCGACTTCCCTGGGAAAATAGTATGTTAATATACTAATGCAAAAATGGTACAGGCTAAGAAAATACTCAATTAATAACTGTGAAAGTGCTCTAAGAACACTAAGTTAAGGACCAGTAGGGACGTAATAAAGTCAGAAAAGACTTACATTTCGTTCAATGAATGATTAAGCAGGTTTTAAGCACCACGTAAATTTTCGAATGCTTAATTATCCGTCCTCCGAATTCACCAATAGGAAAATCGCCTTCCTTGTGGAGCCTTAATAAAAAAGATAACCTCACTACGAGGAAAAAATAGGTCGTTGAAAAAGCATTAAAATGTACATCAATGTCACTTGTTTTGAACAAGTAGATTCAATTGTAGGTTTTTTTTGGCATCACATACAAGTGCCGTAATAAATCTAGTTTGTTTCCCAACTGCTGCCATAGATGATCCATATCTCGTTTTTCACACCATGACAATGCAAGTGCGAAACCGTCTATCGATAGCTAGTTACAAAAGACAAAACGCAAGAGAGCGCCATCCACATTTTCTCGCACATTCTAACAGCAGCAACAACTCACAAACTGCGAGAACAAGAACCATACACAACAGTAGGGTTGTACTCCAACACCCACACCCAAACGGATCCCCGACACTCTCTCACAGAGCCACTGCCAAGTCTGGTTCGATTCGCCGCGAGAGAGAATCTGGCATCTCCGTATCCCTCAAGTGGTGAACTATCAGAAAATCGATTTTTTCGGTCTCCTGAGCGGGGAGTGGGAGAGCAGAAAGGCGCAAGGGAGGAAAAATCGAATCGAAACAGGAAGATGGTTACAAAATCATGACGACGACATGAGGGAAGAAATTCGATTTTTCACATATTCACCCAACAGACAGCTCGCAGGATCACCGTTGGCCGCATCACGAACCCGATCGGATCGAATGCACCGCCAGCTTTGCCGCCTCCGTAGGCGCCGCCGCTGAAATCCATCATTTTCGTTATGTGCTCCGTTTTGAGGCCTTTTGCTGAACCCTGGTCCAATCGAAGAAAAAAACTTCCTCTTGCACGGGGAAGACGGTCTGAACTCGATTCGAGCTGTCACTATCGACTACTCCGGAGGATATTCCACGTTTCTTATCAGGAGCAATTCACTTCAGAAACTTATTTTCCCAATTTTACACGCACTTGAAAGGACGATCGCGAACGCACTTTTAACTATTGCTCGTTACCACACGCCAATGGCCTTCGGAATGTTTTTCCACGCACTTGCAAAACGAAACTGACTGGTGACAGTGATTATCCAGGAGTGGAAAAGCTCTATATTCTCCTAATGAAGAACGAGCGGGATGGCTCGCTTTGAGCTCCCCCGCAGTGGGATCCATCACCACCACCGCCATCCACCCGCGCCCACTCTCTCGATGGGGTGGTGTGGGTGAGAGTCTCTCGTGAGTTCATATAGGAAAGACTTATCGAGGAACGCTATTGCTATTCTTCTCCCACTCGAGTGCGGGTGACATTGAGCCAAGGTTCGTGTTTGTTGGCACTGGCATGCAAACAAATTGTTTTCGGTACAAGTCCAGGCTCTCTTCCGGCTATTGAGAAACAGTGAGTGAAATCCTCTAGAGCAATCGAGATGCTAGGTGGTATTTAGAACGAGTGATCTTCCCTTAGAACAGTCAGTGGGGAGACTGTTGTTTGAATCTACAGTTACGGTGTGACGTTTTCAGTTGATCGATGCATGAAAATGCGCAGAAATTGATAAATGGATGGGGTTCCAAAATGGGTCTCAGCTGAAAACAGTGAGAGTAAAAGAGGCTTGATTTCTGATATTTTTTGGATTTGATATCGTTTACCACACTTCGATTTGATACCAGTTTTAGGCGAAATTAAGTCAGCAAATATTCGACTGGCACAAGTTACATCCATCAGTACCTTGTCACATCTTTTTTTTTTCCTCTGTTCGGGACATAAAACTACTGCGACCAGTAATTTGATCTATTGTAGTATATCCCATGTCCTTCGTTTAGTGCATGTCGTATTACTTCATCACTATTGAGAAATGATGAAGTATTCGGTTTTGATACAGTTGTCATTCTTGCCTTCATCGCAAGGAATCGATTCTAATTGAAAGGTCCCGCTATTTATACCCTTCGGAGTGTTGAAACACCCTCCAAAGGCGCGCCCCTTTGTCAGTCAAAATTGGATTCCGTAGCAACAAAATTAAAGAATGACACCGATAGTGACCATGCATCAGAACCCTAGTCTTAACCACTTTAAACTAGGGAACAACGAATAGAAGATTAGGAATCACATAGATGAAGACTAACTAACACATTTTTTCCTTGTTTCAAGATCATCCTCGGTCCAGGCAACCCGAGGACTTATCACTGTCAACAAGGCATAAGAAGTAACAAGGACTAAGATGTGTTCCTTTGATTACTGATAAATCCTGTTCCCTTTAGTTTGAAGTAGTCAAGACTAGGAATCGGTGGTAGATCTTACATCCCGTAACGTACCACGAAAAGGTGATCTACCCACGGTACGGGGCTTGTCACATCTTACTTACGTCGTTAAAAAAATACTCCCAGTGCTTGCAGGTCCTCCTCTAGTATTGTCTACGTCTCGTGTTCCTGTCCCATCAGCGTCCTGTACAATTATGCGTCTCCAAATCAAGCTGAACATTGCATTAGGTCCTAAGTAACATTGATCGATTCTCTTCGTCGACTTTCTCTTTCGTTAATAACTTGAACACAGAACCTTTTCTTGATGTGTTTGTAGTATTAGATGCTAGATAAAAGCTTCTTTTATCGATCTGTGTGCTGAAAATACCTGGGAATGTCTTTACATGGCCGTGAGGATGCAAAGAGAAAGTCGACGAAGAGAAACAGTCAATGTTACTTAGGACCTAATGCAATGTTCAGCTTGAAATGTCTCTGCTACTTCTCCGAGGTATACAAATACATCCACTTCGATACCATTCTTCCCATCTGCCTTGTTGGTCTTTAGCTGCTTGATAGCATCCTTAACTTCACTAATCAACATACATATCATGGAAGTAATCGAAAAAATAAACAAATTTTTAATTTAACCACTCAGAATTCCTTGAAACTTTGAATCATTGTTCACTAGAGGCAATGAATGAAGTTTGTGCTGATTCTCGGTCATTTTGACCCTCGCCTAATTTTTAAAAATGGAGTGTTCGATATTTTTCAATAAATCGTAGCACGAAACTGGCTCATCTAATCGAAATGTCGTCTGAGAAAAAGTTGTAGGAAACTGGTTTGCATTTTCAGAAAAAAAAAACGCTGAAAACAATGCAAGAAACTGTTAAAAACTTCAAAAATAAGAAAGGTACAATTTTCTAATTTCAAAACTTATGTTTATATGAAAGCTTATCGAAATTTTTTACTTTTCTTAAATGGACACTTCAAAATTGGTCAAAATCGTAAAACATCAACTTGTAGTACAAATTTTGAACTTTGTTTCCATAAATAATTTGTATTGCTTTTCATGCAGAAAACATATTCATTTGTCCAGAAAATTGTTTTCAATGCACAAATCTCATAAATGTTGCGTGAAAAAGGATCAAAATTGTACTAAAAGTTGGTGTCCTACGATTTTGGTAATTTTCTAAGTGTCCATTGTGTTCATTTCAGAATACCATGCTTTCCTGATTTTGTCAGCCTGCAGATTTCACTAAATTGTTCACTTTTTAAACATGAATTCTCAAACTTTTGTATCTGAATATTTTGTTTTCTTACCCTTTACTAGCATATCGTTGTTCCACATTGTGGGCGATCACGTTTCAAGCTTTGGTTAAATATAACAACTCGATCATAAGTGGTGTGTTGTAATATGAGAGGCTCAGTGGCCGAGTGGCTACCATTTTTACCTAATGAGCAAGATGTCGTGGACTCAATCTTAGGCCTATTCGGATTATAGAGTAATTTAGACTTTTTTCGGGGAGAAAACAATATTCATACGACTTGAAGGCACTTACAAACAAACTAATAACTTAAAATATTCAACAATCTTCAAATAACCTTATAATTCAAAATTGGCCACAAAATTAAAAAATATTCCTCAAATCTTTTAAATGGCTTTGAAAAACCATAATAGGTAATAGTACTTAAGGGGGTTAGATTTTGATAAGTTCTTTAGTGGGAATGACACTGATGAAGACTGCACATTGTAGTCGAAATACGTATCTGTCATGGATACCAAAATTAATTAAGTGGAATTAAATGGAAGATAACCTTTTTTTTTGCTGTTTTATTTGAGCATTCCGCTAACAACCCAATTTCATTACTTCATAGAAATTCTTATAAATGGAAAAACTTCCTTTAATAGACCAATTATGCTTTACAAATGCCAGATTCAAGTAAAATCCTAAATACAGCTTTTAGAATAAATATAAATTAATAATTAGTCCGAATCGTGCTCTCTTGGCATGCGGATCTATTTGCTTTTTAATGAAGGAAGTGTTACTAGCTATAACTAATTTAAACAGCACTTTTCAGTACTCAAAATTACCTGCAAATTTTCTACCTTGTTCGACTTTTATCATAGTCGATCCTTGTTTGGACCCTATCCGAGGTAATCCTGCTTGGATATCGATTAGGAAATTTCCTCTTCGATCCTTCAGATTCTTATAGTAATCTGCTTGGAAGTTGATTTGGAGAAACGTTTAAATGCCACCATGGTGCCTAAACGCAAAAGAAAGGGGAAATCTCTTGATCCCCCTTCAAATGAAATTTATTTGAGTCATCAATTTGATATGCTCACGGATCATGAGAATGATTCATCATCCAGGCAAAATTCCACTAAACTTTTCCGGCTTAATGTCAAGAAGAAAAAGGTTCCTCCTATTGCGATAACCACTTTCGATTTCCATGCTCTTCGCACGAAACTTTTGAACTTAGTTAAATTCAAGTTTTCACTCGGGTCGTCGGGTGAATGCCGTATATTAGCTGAAATCTTAGACGGATTCAAACGCCTTCTCAAGTATCTTACTGAGAAGCAGCTCAAATTTTTAACTTACGACACCAATACTAGCGACGCCGGTGGTGTAGTGGTAAGCGTGATTACTTTCTCACCCCAGCAGGCCTGGGATCAATCCTAGTCGGCGCCGCCGGGATGTTCCGAGGCATAACATCTCTGATCAGGGAATTAAAGCCGTTGGTCCCCAGTTCATGAGTTGATGGGTCGATAGGTAGGGTCCAGGTGAGAGAGCTGCCTTCCAGGCGTCGGTAGCATTGGTGCTCAGCACGGAAAACAAGATCGACGGAAAACAAGATCGACGGAAAACAAATCAAGGGAAAAAAAGACACCAATACTGAACGTCTGCTCAAGGTTATCTTGAAAGGTCTGCCCAGTGGTGAATGGACAAAATTACTTGGAGTTGAACCAATCCAAGCAATCAAAATGAAAATGAAATCCCGTCCTGAAGATTCACGCAACGGGATTTCTAATGATTTTTATTTAGTGCACTTCAAGTCTAACGAACTAAACAACCTTAAGGCCTTAGAAAAAGCTAGCCTTATGATCCATGTCCGAGTGAAGTGAGAACACTTCAGGAAGACTATTTTTGCAATTTAAAGAGTAGTAAAGGTATGTCGATTCAGTCAAAGCTTTACTGAAGTCAACATAAAGAGTTTCTACGAGCTTGCCATTGTCCATTGCGTTAAGAATGAAGGTTACACATTCAAGATTAGAATTAGCTGAGCAAGGGGTGAGACAGGTTTGCTCTGAGATGCTTTTTTTGCAGCGAGTAACTCGCGAGTAACTCAATGTACCTCAATATTTAATCGACTCCCTTTAAGAATATGCTTCTCATATTAGACGTCAGTTTTGTTTGTAAGCCCAAGTGTAGTTCCGTAACGTGGGTAGATCACTTTTTCGTGGTACGTTACGGGATGTAAGATCTACCACCGATTCCTAGTCCTGACTGCTTCAAACTAGGGGAACAGGATTTTTCAGTAATCAAAGGAACACATCTTAGTCCTTGTTACTTTTTATGCCTTGCTGATAGTGACAAGACTTGGCTTTGTCCACCGAGGATGATCGTGAAATAAGGAAAACATGAGCTAGTTAGTTTTCATCTATGTGATTCCTAATCTTCTATTTGTTGTTCCCTAGTTTGAAGTGGTTAACACTAGGATTTTGATGCATGGTCATTATCAATGTCATTTCTTAATTTTGTTGCCAAGGAATCCAATTTTGACTGATAAAGGGGCGCGCTCTTGGAGAGTGTTCCAAGTTTCCGAAGGGTATAAAGAGCGGGACCTTTCAATTATAGTCGGATCCTTGCGATAAATGCAAGAATGTCAACTGTAA